CAGTCTTTTCTGTTTTGCTTCATGCCAGATGGATTCTGCTGCTATGTTTTCGAGTTTACTGATTTTTTTTTTTCTGCACCAATCCGATCCAGTGAAATTTTCATTTTATATATTGTATTTCGTATTTTTTTGTTTTGGTTTTCTCATTATGTTGCTTTTCTTTACCTACTTGAAAATATTTATAATACTTATTTGAATATCCTTGTGTCATAGTTCTGTCAGTTCTTATTTTTAGGTTTGTTTCTGTTTTCTCCTGGCTATGGATTATATTTTCCTGCTTCATTGTTTAGTAATTTTTAATTGGATATTGGACATTGTAAATATTGTTGAGTGCTAGATTTGGGGGTTTTTCCTAAAGAATGTTGGGTATTATTCTGGCAAGCTGTTATTTTCAGAGAAAATTAAATTCTTTTGAGGCCTGTTTTTAAGCTTTATTAGAGTAGCTCTACAATAGCTATTCTGTGATTCCTAATATATAATTTCTCTGAGATCTTCACTGAATACCCTGGGTTATTCGTGCTGATTTTCTATTCTGACTCTTTCGAACATGAATCTTTGACCTCCTTGTGTGATCTCTGGGAATTAATCAGTTTCCAAATTTCCAGTTGTTCTTTGCCCAGACTAAACGGAATATCACCCTATAGATGAGTAGTCTAGTACTTAGTGGAAACCACTTTGCAGACTTCTGGAGGTCTTTTTCTGCTTAGTTCCCTAATACTGAACTCAGACTTCACATATTCCAATTTGCTTCCTCAAACTCTGATCTCCATTTTCTCAGCTCATACTGCTGTGTTCCCTCTCTGCATTGACCTCTGCATTGCCAGAAAATTGTCTGTGGTTCTAAGAGAGTCGTTTGCTTTCATTTTCCTGGGGATCACAGTCCTGAGTTGACTGTTGTTTAGTATTTGAATAAACTTTTTTCATATATATTGTCCATATTTTAGTTGTTTACAATGGATATGTTTAGAGAAATTCATAATCCTCATTTTTATGTGCATATTCTTGATCTTTAAATATATCAAAAAAAGTTTTATGAGCCTAGAGCCTAGGCTAAGCTACAAAATGTTTACAGGTTTTTTTTTTTTTTTAACATTCTCTAAAATATCTGTATGATAATTATAATGATCTAGTATATTTGATTCACTTGGTTAAGG